TGGGGGCCACGCAGACCAGGTGCACGCACAAGCCATGCCCACAGCACATGTAGGGCTGATGAATGACTCGCCTGTGCACCTGTGCAGGTCCATTTAAAGGCAAGTGTCCCCCGACCCCCGACCCTGAAGGTTTGGAGAGGAAAGGACCCAGGACACACTTGTCCCAGCACCACGGCAATGAGTGGAGACGAGATGGGAACAGGAGCCGCTGCCCAGCCTGGCTCGGCCCTGGCCTGCCGAGGGAGGAGGACCTATCCGCCTATCCGCCCGCTTCAGTGTTAAACCTGGTGTCCCAGGTGGGGCTTGTGGCACCTTCTCTGGCGGGTCCCTTAGCACAAAAGCCCAACGACAGTCACAGCAAAGAGGCCTGAGGCCTTCAGGAATCGTGGGGGAGGGGGAGGTGCGCTGCCCGGCCTGCAGTGTGCAGAAGGGAAGCTTCCAGAAAGCCTTGCTGAGACTGAGGGGCTGGGGCGGGCTCAGGGTGCCGCGAAGCCCCGGGGGCTGCTCCGTGGTCATCTCTTGGGTTTACGTAAATAACGCTCTCCCTCTCAGCCAGCGTCCCTGCCACACAGAGGGAGCCCGCAGGGGACGCTGGGTGTGCATGACGTGGCTTGCAGACATGGGTGATGGGTGCCCCAAGGCCGAGGGGCTGCCTCCCGGGGAGCAGTGCTGCCACATTCACAAAACCCACCGTGAGCCGGCTGCCAGCAGGCGGTGTGCACCAGCGGGCGAGTGTGGCTCTCCTGGGCCAGGGCTGGCCACCGGGAGGGCCGTCGCGGGCGAGTGTGGCTCTCGTGGGCCAGGGCTGGCCACCGGGAGGGCCGTCGCCCTGACAGCGAGGCCGGGCCCCTGCCTGCCTCTCCTGCTTTCCCTCTCACAGGCGCCCGCCCGTCTTCCTCTTTCTGCTGTGAGCTCAGGCCACACAAAGCCCCTGGGGAGAAGCGGAGCAGATGTTCTCTCCCATAGTCGTGCGGTCGGCACGGCAACACGCGAGGGGGCCCTCCACCCCCACGCCCACCCCACGAGCCTGGGCTCCTGGCCTCCAGAACTGAGCCCAAAGCACCTTGGACAGTGACACGGTCTTAGGCATTCTGCTACGGCAACAGCACGCAGGCTTAGCACTGCTCTCCCTGCGACGCACTCCGCCATCTCCCAGCCCCTGTGTGAGCAGCGGGCACCTCCACTCCACCTGCAGTGGCCTGCGGCTTCCACTAAACAGGGACACGGAAGCATCGCCGCGCTCCAGGCCATCTCTGCAGGCGCTCAGAGAGCGGTCAGGGCTCAGAGCCGCAGCAGGGGCAGCAGTACCTCCTCTCCGCCCGCACGCGAGCAGGCTCCGCACCTGTCCTGTCGGCAGGTGCACTGGAGCACAGCCCCACCTGGAGCCGTACGAGGGGGGATCCCAGAGGGGCCTCAGGGGGCGCACGGGTGAGAGCGAGCCGCTCGGCTGCCCTTTCTCTCGGCAGGCCTGGGCCCATTTCACAGCTGTGTTCTCAAGTTTCCCATCGTGAGGATTCGGAAACCTCTGCCTCCGTGGGCGCGGCGATGACCGGGGAAGCAAACAGGCTGCAGGGTGCGTGCCGAGAGGGCCAGGAAGGCCAGCTGCTCCCTTTGTGGGCGTGGCGAGAGTGAGAGGGGCAGGACGGGAGCACAGGCTGGGCTCGCCCACGAGGCCCACAGCCTCCAAGGCCGGGGTTTGCGGCCACCCATGGGGCTTGCCCTGAACAAGGGAGTGGAATGAGTCACCAGTCCCCTGGTGACTGCCACCCAGGGACTGCACTTCTCAGCTCTGTTAACAGAGCGTCTCGTCTGCGACACTTTGCTTCAATGAAATTTACTTCTACTCTCATGAAACAGCAGCTGGTGTTTCACTGCCGTGATTATTACAACAGCATCGCCCACTAAGCAAAATTTAAAAAGAAAAAGCTTCTAGGAGCTGGCGTGTGGTGTAGCCGGGTGAAGCTACCGCTGGCAAAGCCAGCATCCCGTATGAGCACCGGTACTGGTCCCAGCTGTTCTGCTTCTGACCCAGCGTCTTGTTAATGGCCTGGGAAGGCAGTGGAGGACGGCCCAAGTGCTCGGGCCCTGCACCCGGTGTGGGAGACCAAGATGAGCTCCTGACTCCTGGCTTTGGCCTGGTCCAGCCCTGGCTGTTGCAGCCAACTGGGGAGTGAACGAGCAGATGGATAATCTCTCTCTCTGTCTCTGCTTTTCAAATAAATACACAAATAAAACCTTTTTTAAAAATACAAACAAAAAGAAGCCTTTATCCCAAACACGATCATTTTCATTTCTTCTAACTCAACCTAATTCTGCTGATAATTCAGCATTTTCATGAGGATTCGGAAGCGCCGGAAGCCGCCCAGTGGTCCCGCTGCCGAAGATCCAGAAAGCAAAGACTGCACAGCCAGGACACGGCGGCCAAGGGAAAGACACGGTGCACAGGTTCGCGACAGCGCGGAGGGCGGAAACAGGGAGACCTGGCTCAGGAAGGGTGATGGCGGTTTCCTCCTGGGAATACCAAGCACACAGCAACAGCAAGGTGGGGGTCACCCCGCGTGGAGAACGGTCAGCGGCTGACAGCGTCTCTGCCGTGCCTGGCGTCCTGCACTAAAGCACCGAGCCTGCAAACCCGAGCTGGAGGCGCCTGGGGCTCCTGGGGCGGGCGTGGGGGTGGAGGGCCCCCTCGCGTGTCGCCGTGCCGACCGCACGACTCTGGGAGAGAACTGGGACCCGGCCACCACGGAGAGTCCAATACGCGGGCACAGCCCGGACGGCTCAGCCCCGTGCTCTCCCGCAGGCTTCTGATAGGGACTGGGTCGGGGATTCTCGCCCAACTTGTGGGAGCTACGCGGTCATTCCCCAGAGCAGTGCCCGCCTAAGGGGACACTGTGCCCGGGCCCCAGGCTGACCCTCCCCCCAGCAGGGATCAGTGGCCCGAAGGGTCAACCCCAATAGTCTAACTGGGCCTGGCCTGAGGCCGTCTGATTGTGCCGGACAAGTGCTGCTACCGAGGGGAGAAGCCGTGGGGCCAGGGCACCCGGGCGGGCGTCCAGCAGGCTGGCGGCGCAGAGCCCATGACCGGCTGGGCTGTGTGGGGAGGAGCAGGGCGCAGGCCACTCCGCCGCGCGATCCGCCACGCTCTCTGGCAGCCCCGAGGCGCCGCGGCTGCAGGCTTCCAGGGACAACCTGGACCACGCAGGCGGCTGGGCTGGGGCTCCGAGGGGAGGAGGGCAGCAGAGAACCGTGCGGAAAACACACCCATTCCTGGGCTCACGACAGCGGCTGCTTGCACTCGTCCTAAACCTCACAGTCGCCCAAGCCCCCGGGTCCCCGTGACCCCGGCCTCCTGCCTGGCTCACACCAGAGACACGGGACAGACACGCACTCGAGGTGGGACGGAAGCAAGTGTTGGAAAGGAGCCCGAGACAGGCACAACTGAAACCTCGGCCACCAGCTCCCAGCACGAGACCTCAGGCTGCAAACCAAGTCTGCCCTCAAAGATCCGAGCTCAGAAAGAGCTAGATCACGGCCAGCACTGTGGCTCAGCGAGTTAGCCACAGCCCCAAGGCCAGCATCCCCACCCGAGCGCTGACGTTCCAAGCGTTTGGGTCCCTGCACCCATGTGGGAGACGCAGACGACATTCCTGACCCAGCCATCGCAGCCCTCTCTCTCTCTCTCTCTCTCCACACACAAGAACTGTATGAGAAAAACAACACAGCACTGACAACAGACATCAAAGAAACAAACCCGGCCCAGCTAGGAAGACTGAACACCGTCGCGATGCCAGCTCTTGTAGATTCAATGCCATCCCAGCAAAAATTCCAGCAAGTTAGGACGTGGATCTTGACAAAGCGACCCTACAGCCTGCATGGAGAGGCAGAAGACACGGGAGAGCAAACACGCTACTTACTGAAGAACCAGTTAGACAGCCGATGCTACTCAAGCCACAGGAATCAAACCGCGTGGTGCTGGGAGAGGAGACCCGGCCCCACAAAATCCGGGCAGCTCAGCTCTGACCAAAGAGAAACAACCCACAGCCACAGCAAGAGCCTGGATCCAGACCTTACCCCACCCCCCAAAATCAAACCCAAAAGGACTACCCAGCTCAACCCAAGTGATAACGCACAGGGGAAACCCAGCCAGCGTCAGGAACGGGGACGGCGTCTAAGAGACGACACCAGTGAGGACAGAGCTGACGAGCTGCGTTTCGCTGGACCTGAAAATCCTGCTGCCAGAACAGAGCAGGGAACAAATTCCCAGACAACACGCCCGGGAAAAGGGCTCTTGAAACACCACAGTGATAACACAGCAAACCCCATTAGGCCATGGGCAAAGCCCTCGCGGGACATCTCACGTAAGAAGATGGCCAAACTCAGGACCCGACAGCGGCAGATGCAGGCGAGGACCTGCAGCCACAAGGGCTCCCCTCCCGGCTGGCGGGAACGCGGCACACAGCAACCCTGGAAGACGGCTCGGAGGCATCTTCCAAACCAGGCCCTCAACACAAGGTCCGGCGGTAATGCTGGTGGCATTCAGGCAAAGGAGCTGGAAACGCGTCCCCGCAGACACACAGATGTTCACGGTGGCTTCAAGCACACACGGATGTTCACGGTGGCTTCAGGCAGACACACAGATGTTCACGGTGGCTATACCCAAACTGCCAACACACCACAGCAACCAAGATGCCCGCCAGCAGGTGAACGCACACAGAGACCATGGCTCTTCCAGCTGGTGAGACCCTACTCTGGTCGAGCGTGGGTGACGCTGGCGACACGCACACGCACACGCACAGTACTACATGGAAGAAGCCACAACGCACAGGCCACAGGCTGCGTGACTCCAGCCACACGAGAGCCTGCAAAAGTCAAAGTCCAGGACACAGGGAGCGAGCAGTGGCTGCCAGGGGCTGCGTAGACAGGGACGGGCGGGCCCCGCACAGAGGACACTTTGAGGTAGTGACACGCTCCTGCAGGAGACGAGGCAGTGGGCACAGGCCAGTACACGCGTGTGCAGGTGTTCACACTCACAGCACGTGCAACGGCAGGAGTGAACCCTATCGTAACTGTGGACCTGGCTGACAGCGATGGGTCAGCACAGTCCCTCAGTGGCCACAGACGTGTCACTGTGGCAGGGGACGTGGACGGTGGGGTGGCTGTGCGCTTGCGTGGGCAGGGCTACGAGGACCATCCCTGCACCTGCTTCTCAGTTCTGCTGTGAGCCTGCAACTGCTCTAAAAATAAAACCTATTAGTAAGATTAAAAAAAAAATAAAAACAAAGTGGCAGCCCGGCGTCCGGAAGGCAGTCTCGGGCGCCGTCTGCCTCCCCGGCAGATGGCAGAGGGCGGTGGCTGACTCACTTCTCCGGAAGGCGCTGGCATTTGCAGCTGGCAGGGCAGGTCACCCACATCCTGCCCTCCTACGGTTCCCCCCGACTAATGCCGGACTCGGCATTCATCCCGCCAGCTCTGCCTGGCTCCACTCAGCCCCGCGTCTGCAGCTGAGCCCCGCCCGGGCCTGGTGAGGTTCGGGAACAGGGAAAGGCTGGGTGCCACGGGGGAGGAGGAAGCCTGGAGGTCGGGGAGGGAGCTGTGTGCGAGTGTGCGCTCACCCACCTGCACCCTGCTTCAGCAGCTCAGCCGCCGAGTTGGCCGCCGTCTGGGGAGAATGTTCCGTGATCTCCTCCATCGGATCTGCAGGGAGGGGGCGAAACACAGAAGTGAGTCCCGCTGCCCACGCAGAGTCCTCACGGGCAAGTCCCCAAGGGGGCCATGCACGGCTCCGTGGGGACTTCCCCTGGGGACGGTAACCTAACTGCGACCCTGCTGGGGACAGAAAGGGGGGTGACGAGGCCCAGCCGGGTCTAGACTGAACTAACTCATGCGAAGAGTCAGCTCTAAGAGGTAAGTCAGCTTCGTCTCAATTATTCACCTATTTGTGACCCGGACACGGCTCAGCAAACGGCCCGGGCAGGCTGCGGGAGCCACTCTGCGAGTTTCTCTCTCATTGTGTGTCTTTGAAGACGAAGCTAAAAGCAGGGGGAGCGGCTGGTCCCTGTGTTCAGCACGGTTGACACAGCGCTCATCCTGCAGAATCTCAGAAATCCAATGGCGGGGACGCCAAGGCCTTTGTCCCAGGGTCTTGGGTTTCTAAGCCTCGGGCCTTTGCTCCACGGAGCGCTGTCACGGAGGCCCAGCACGGGAAAGTGTCCCAGGGCATCTGGCTGCAGCGCGGCCTCCTCCCTGCTCCTCCACTCGCCTGTACCCCCAGGGCGTGGGGCAGAAGAAACGCTCCCCGTCTGGCTCTCAGTGACCTCCCACGACCCCCAAGGCAGACCCAGCCCCATACCTCTCTCGGGAATGAGCAGTTTGCAGGGCAAGGCCAAGGGCGTGATGGAGTGCTGGCACACCAGGGCCGTCAGGCTCCCTGCGAGAGACGGAAGCAGACGTGAGTCAGCAGGCGCAGCAGGTGCACCCCGCCTGCAGCCGCCACCCAGGCAGAGCCCGTCCAGGGCCAGCAGCCGGGGCACAGCATCCCGTGTGACACTGTACCAAACTCTGAGAAGCGACACGCTGAGCGAGATAGGAAGAAGTGAGTGAAGAGAACACAGCTCACAGCTTCTTTCCACACCAAACAGAATCAACCACGCGTTGGCTGCGTGGGAAACTCAGAGGGTTGGGATCGGGGAACCCCAGCTGTTACCGCACGTACGGCCCCTGGACGATGCTTCCCAAGGGGCGAGAGTGTGAGGGCGCCGGGCGAGCACAAGCCCGGGTCGCAGCGGAGGCTCCCGGTGCACGGGGAGGAAGCCACCCTGCAGGGAGCTCTGTGACCCACGTGCCACGGGCCAGGGTCCCCCGTGGGGACTCCCACCGGCCACCAGGAGGGTGCTCTGTCTGCATCTGTGACTTCTGTTCCCAGCGTGGGGCTTCGCGTTAGGTTTGACAAAGCCTCCAAGAATGTTTTCACAGCCAGCCGAGCCTAAAGACGCTAATCCGCTCGGAGGAGTCTCAGAACGGAGCGAGGGCCCCCGGAGGCGGGCAGGGGGCAGAGGGCCCCGGGCCGCCAGCTTCAGCCACTCACCGAAGTAGGGCTCGTTGGAGCAGCCTTTCAACCGCACCCCCTTGGGGGTGCACTCGATCAGAAAGTGCCGGACGAGCTCGTTGGCCAAGTCTCCACCTGGGCTCAGGAATGAGAAACAAGACAGAATGAAGACGGGAGCACGGGAGGGTGTGGGCGAGAGCAGCCCTACAGCAAGCAGCTGTGGTTGGGAGGGCCCTGCTGGCCAGCCACCACCTGCAGGCTCCCCGGGGCCACCAGGAAGGGGCTCTGGGCTGTGGGATGGCGGGTGCGCACGGGGCACTGGGACAGCGCGTCAGCTGCGTGTGCGCAGGCTAGGGGCGTGGCGCAGGTCTTTGCAGCAAGGACGCTGGCTGACGGGAGTGCTCTGCGAGAGCTCACAGCTGAGGGCCCACAGGGAGGCGGGCGCTTGGTGCGGATGTAGACACTGCTTGGGACGCCTGCACCCCGAATGGGAGCCTCAGCTCCTGGGCCTGCAGTCCAGCCTCCTGCTGATGGGCGCCCTGGGGGGCAGCAGGCGACGGCTCAGGCAGCTGGGTCCCTGCCACCCACCCTGCTACGCAGGCACCTGGCTTTGGCCTGGACCAGTCCTGGCTGTTGCAGGCATTTAGGGAATGAACATGGCAAATGGGAGATCTCGGCCTGTCTTTCTTCCTTTCAAATAAAGTAAAAATAAATAAATAGCAAGTGCAGAAGACAGGAAACAGCCCTTGGGTCCCAGCTCCACCGGCCCCACAGGGGAGGTCGGGAAGACTCCGGCACAGTGATGCCCGACAGTGAGTCCCGGCCAGGAGCGGGGGCTCCGGTGCACAAACCCCTCCGGAAGCACCCATCGCTCTGCAGCAGCCGCCTGCCACCGGCCTGCTTGAACCCAGGACCCTCGTGTCCAGGCCGTAGCCGGAGCTGTGACATCTGGTGACCCTGGGTGCCACTTCCAGCCAGCCCACTGGGCACAGAAGCTAGCGCCTGCGGCACGCTCCTGAGAGAGGGCACGTCTGCCCGCACACGAGCCGGCACAGGTCACAGCGGGGAGCCCAGACACAGAGGCCAGTGCCTGGGCGGAAAATGAAATTCGCAAATAGTGGAACTTTTCCTGGAGCAAGGACATTTGCTAAACAGCCCTGTAGAAAGAAAGACTAAGGCCCAGCTGGCCGGCGGGTGCCGCTCCTCGGAGACGGAGAGCAGATGGGGGCCCGGCACCCACCTTTCTTGTTCATCTGCAAGACGGACGGAGGCGGTGTGGCCACCTTCATGGCCAGGCCGTAGGCACCGCGGAAGGAGTGGCTGTCACGCACAATGAACGACCCAGGCTCCTTGTCCTTCAGCATGGCGATGGCTGCGGGAGGGGACAGGCGTGAGCGTCCACACGTGGCAGGCCGCGGGACAGGTGTGCAAGGTCTACTCCCACCAGAAGCAACAGGTGGCCACTGCTCTCCTGGGGGTGCTCCGGGTACCTGCAGCCAGGCTGCCCCAAAGCTCGGCCTCGCTGCTGTGCGCACGCCGCCTGCCTGTCCGCTGTCCACCTCGAGTGGTGGCGGCAGGAACTGTGTCCGGCGTCCAGATCCGGGCTTCCCAGCCGCAGCACCGCCCGTCACAGCAAACCCATGTTCTCTATACACTTCCAGGCTCAGGCACTTGGTCACAGCCACAGCCAAAGGACAAGGCTGACCTCTCTCTGCCCGCGTCTACAAAGGGAGCCAGGACAGAGCCTGCTGGGGTGTCCGGGGTGGGCGTGGGCCCCGCTACTTTGGAGGATGAGCCTGCCCACCCTGCATGCTGGTGCACTTCTGGCCAGTTTGGGGGCTGACCGTGTGCTGCTTTTTCCAAGCCCACTGCTGGCAGTGGCCGGCCTCTGCCTGGGCGGCAGGGTGTGCCTGCTGAACGCCTACAGGAAGCGTTTCTCCCAAGTGTGAGAGACCTCACTCCTTGCACCTCCAGACTCAGATGTTTGTCCGACGCGTCTGCAGTACGGGGAAGCCCAGTCCTCCCTCCAGGCCACCTGGGGGTCTGTGGCCTACAGAGCCACAGAGCCCAGAGCCCAGGGCTGCATGGGCACGAGGGGCTGGGCCTTTATGAACCAGCCAAGGGGAGCCAGAGCTTAATTTCGGGAACAGGGATGAGCTAAGGCGCCAGCCTGCGGGGGGTTGGGGGAGGCCCAGAAGGAAGGTGTGCACTCTGCCCAGCCCGCAGCACCCCACTGCCCACCCAAGGACCAGGCAGGGGGTGGGGCCCTGGCTGCGTTCTCCCACCTTGCTGCCTGCACTGACGCCCAGCCGCGCCACGGCCTGAGCATGCCCAGCACAACCTGGTTCTGCAGCTCGGAGAGCGTCTAGAACGTGGGGCGGGCTCCGCCTCCCCGCTCCCGGCGCAGCGTGAGCCGTTCTGAGCGAGCCCACCCCAGCAGCCCACTTTGCACGTGTGCAAGTCCAGGCCTGGAGGGCGACCGCCCCGCCCGGATGGCGCCTCCCTGAGGCGTGGACAGCACGGCAGCTCTCCTGGCCATCATCCCCGCTCCACCGAGGGGTCAGAAGGTGCAGCCCCCTCTCCCACAGCACCAGGGCTCTGTGGGCAAAGGCAGCCCAGCCCACACCAGCCGGGACTGGAAGACAGCGCCACGGAGTAGGAGGCTAGGCGCAGAACCTTCTAGAACAGGGATGGCAGGACATCTGGCCCATGAAACTTATAAGGCCGCAACTTCAATTGGTCTGGCCCTGCCAAGGCAGCCCCAGGTGGGCCTCAAAATCCAATAAAGCTGTAGCCGGCTAACGTTTCAGCTGACAATTTTGTACGGCCCACAAATGACACTGAAGTACCCAAATAGCCTTTGGCAGAAAAATGGCTCCCCAGCCCCGTTCCAGAACACGCGTGCCCCACCCAAGCACCTCGGCTCCTGCCCGCTGGCTGAGCTGCTGTGGGAGGCAGTGCTGGGGCCGGGCTGGTGGCCACAGGACACAGCGTCCGGCCGGCCCTCGGCCTGGAGCAGAACTTTGCACAAAAGGCCGATTCAGGGGAATGAATGCTTCCAACCACGAGCGTTTCTCTCTCTCTCTCTCCCGTTCACAAGGACAATAGGTTCTTTGAGCTCACGGGGAGAAAGGCACGTTCTGCCAGTCTCTGAGCTGCGTGACTGAGGGCAGGATTCTAGCGGCCAAGTGCGGCCCTCACTACCCGAGCTCGGCCGTTTCTGAGACACCACCAGGAGACAGCGCGATGCAGACAGCAGCCACGCGGCTCCCCCCACCCCCGCCACGGTCGGCGCCCCGCTCGGCTCAGCCCAGCACGCCCCCGCAGCCTTATCAACCCCTTCACTTCCTGGGATCCGGACCCTGCCCTCCCCACACCACCGCTCCGAGCTCCGGGCGCTGCCCGAATCTTCCAGGAGAGCAGGGGTGTCAGCTCCCCACCTCCCTCTCAGAGTGACTGTGTCCTTGGTGCTCAAAGTCCCGCAGCCTGCAGACGCTGGGTGTGGTCTGCAGGGGACATACGCAGGGAAGCCCACCACAGGGTCCCTGCCCACACAGAGCAAGGCAGCTCCTCCCTAGCCCCCACCCTCCGTGGCTAAGGACCCCGATGGAGTGTGTCTCCTCTCAACAGCCGCCGGCTGGCGGAAGCATCCAGAAACTACCGCCCCCGCTGCAGTGCCATGGGGGCGCCCACGGCTTGCCAACTCCCTCATTAGCGCAAGCTTTTCCCGTTAGAGACTGAGCAGCACTTCCCCTGCAGGCGTGTGATGAAGCCTGGCCTTGTTCTGAGTCAGGCCGCCCCACAGCCGAGCTTCTGGGACATTCCTGCGGCAGGGCCCCCCCAGGGCGAGGAGCCGGGGCAGGTGTCCGGGGAGCCCACCTCCTCCCACGTACCTTGCTCTCTGGAGATGTCTGCCTTGTACCAGAACTTGGAAGTGTCCTGGACAAATTTCACGATCACAAGCTTGTCCCCTGGACTGTCTGTGAAGCAAAATTGATAAACTGTGAGAGGTTATTTTTCTAATTGCAAACTCACACTCCACTTCGGTCCAGCTCCCTGCTAATGCACCTTGCAAAGCAGCGGAAGATGCCCAAGTGCCCGGGCCCCTGCACCCACGTGGGAGATGAGGATGGAGCTCCGGGCTCCTGGCTTCAGCCTGGCCCTGCCCTGGCTGTTGTGGCCATTTGGGGAGGGAACCAATGGATGGAAGATTCTGTCTCTCTTTCTCTCCTCCTTGCTGTAACTCTGCCTTTCAAATAAACAATCTTAAAATAAAATAAAATAAAACCAAACAGGTACACACAGCAGGGCTGGTCTTTTAACCAGTGGGTCTTACTTCTTAGACACTTGGAATAATTCATCAATAAATTATGGATGACTTCGTTTGACTTGAAAAATAAAGTTGTCTTCCAAACAAAACGCTAAGAGAATAAGCAGCCAGGATCACCACAAGTGCCTGCACTGTGCCTTGGACGGGGCTCCCACGTGGGTCCGCGCAGGTGCCCAGAACACACGAGACGCAGCAGTCGTGGCTGCCCCCGGCCAGGGGGACAGGAAAGACTTCCTGGCTCTGGATGCTTCGGGCAAGGGCTCCCTCCGCACAGCCCAGCTGGCTCCTATGGCCCCGCCCCCCTCCTCCCCGAGCCAGCCAACCAAGGGGCCTCACTCCTATGGCCCCGCCCCCT